TTAGCTGTAGATTGCTTCTCTGTTAGCTGTAGATTGCTTCTCTGTTAGCAGTAGATTGCTTCTCTGTTAGCTGTAGATTGCTTCTCTGTTAGCAGTAGACTGCTTCTCTGTTAGCAGTAGATTGCTTCTCTGTTAGCTGTAGATTGCTTCTCTGTTAGCTGTAGATTGCTTCTCTGTTAGCTGTAGATTGCTTCTCTGTTAGCAGTAGATTGCTTCTCTGTTAGCTGTAGATTGCTTCTCTGTTAGCTGTAGATTGCTTCTCTGTTAGCAGTAGACTGCTTCTCTGTTAGCAGTAGATTGCTTCTCTGTTAGCAGTAGATAGCTTCTCTGTTAGCAGTAGACTGCTTCTCTGTTAGCAGTAGATTGCTTCTCTGTTAGCAGTAGATTGCTTCTCTGTTAGCAGTAGATTGCTTCTCTGTTAGCTGTAGATTGCTTCTCTGTTAGTAGTAGACTGCTTCTCTGTTAGCAGTAGATTGCTTCTCTGTTAGCAGTAGATTGCTTCTCTGTTAGCTGTAGATTGCTTCTCTGTTAGCAGTAGATTGCTTCTCTGTTAGCAGTAGATTGCTTCTCTGTTAGTAGTAGATTGCTTCTCTGTTAGCAGTAGACTGCTTCTCTGTTAGTAGTAGATTGCTTCTCTGTTAGCAGTAGATTGCTTCTCTGTTAGTAGTAGATTGCTTCTCTGTTAGCAGTAGATTGCTTCTCTGTTAGTAGTAGATTGCTTCTCTGTTAGCAGTAGACTGCTTCTCTGTTAGTAGTAGATTGCTTCTCTGTTAGTAGTAGATTGCTTCTCTGTTAGTAGTAAATTGCTTCTCTGTTAGTAGTAGATTGCTTCTCTGTTAGCAGTAGACTGCTTCTCTGTTAGTAGTAGATTGCTTCTCTGTTAGCAGTAGATTGCTTCTCTGTTAGTAGTAGATTGCTTCTCTGTTAGTAGTAGATTGCTTCTCTGTTAGTAGTAGATTGCTTCTCTGTTAGTAGTAGATTGCTTCTCTGTTAGCAGTAGACTGCTTCTCTGTTAGTAGTAGATTGCTTCTCTGTTAGCAGTAGATTGCTTCTCTGTTAGTAGTAGATTGCTTCTCTGTTAGTAGTAGATTGCTTCTCTGTTAGCAGTAGACTGCTTCTCTGTTAGTAGTAGATTGCTTCTCTGTTAGCAGTAGATTGCTTCTCTGTTAGTAGTAGATTGCTTCTCTGTTAGCAGTAGATTGCTTCTCTGTTAGTAGTAGATTGCTTCTCTGTTAGTAGTAGATTGCTTCTCTGTTAGTAGTAGATTGCTTCTCTGTTAGTAGTAGATTGCTTCTCTGTTAGCAGTAGACTGCTTCTCTGTTAGCAGTAGATTGCTTCTCTGTTAGTAGTAGATTGCTTCTCTGTTAGCAGTAGACTGCTTCTCTGTTAGTAGTAGACTGCTTCTCTGTTAGCAGTAGACTGCTTCTCTGTTAGTAGTAGATTGCTTCTCTGTTAGCAGTAGATTGCTTCTCTGTTAGCAGTAGATTGCTTCTCTGTTAGCAGTAGATTGCTTCTCTGTTAGCAGTAGATTGCTTCTCTGTTAGCAGTAGATTGCTTCTCTGTTAGCAGTAGATTGCTTCTCTGTTAGCAGTAGACTGCTTCTTTGTTAGCAGTAGATTGCTTCTCTGTTAGCAGTAGATTGCTTCTCTGTTAGCAGTAGATTGCTTCTCTGTTAGCAGTAGATTGCTTCTCTGTTAGCAGTAGATTGCTTCTCTGTTAGCTGTAGATTGCTTCTCTGTTAGCTGTAGATTGCTTCTCTGTTAGCAGTAGACTGCTTCTCTGTTAGCAGTAGACTGCTTCTCTGTTAGCAGTAGATTGCTTCTCTGTTAGCTGTAGATTGCTTCTCTGTTAGCTGTAGATTGCTTCTTTGTTAGCAGTAGACTGCTTCTCTGTTAGCAGTAGACTGCTTCTCTGTTAGCAGTAGATTGCTTCTCTGTTAGCTGTAGATTGCTTCTCTGTTAGCAGTAGACTGCTTCTCTGTTAGCTGTAGATTGCTTCTCTGTTAGCTGTAGATTGCTTCTCTGTTAGTAGTAGATTGCTTCTCTGTTAGCTGTAGATTGCTTCTCTGTTAGCAGTAGACTGCTTCTCTGTTAGCAGTAGATTGCTTCTCTGTTAGCAGTAGATTGCTTCTCTGTTAGCTGTAGATTGCTTCTCTGTTAGTAGTAGATTGCTTCTCTGTTAGCAGTAGATTGCTTCTCTGTTAGCAGTAGACTGCTTCTCTGTTAGCAGTAGATTGCTTCTCTGTTAGCAGTAGATTGTTTCTCTGTTAGCTGTAGATTGCTTCTCTGTTAGCTGTAGATTGCTTCTCTGTTAGCTGTAGATTGCTTCTCTGTTAGCAGTAGATTGCTTCTCTGTTCAGGCTTAGCATGTTCAGGTGGGCAGTTGCAGTAACACATCTCCATGCTTTATACACCAGAAAGAACAGACAGTGCACTCATGACATATTACCACTGTATGGATGGCAATAGTATTTTCTATGAGTTTTCTGTTTCCTTCACAGGCCGAAGTCTGAATGTCAAGAAGAATGATGCAATAAAGGAATCCACCGAGAGCAACACCATTGAGGATGAAGACTCTAAAGGTGATTATGAACAGCTGTTTTGTCCACTTCTTTGTTTAGAAGAATTTCGGTTAATTAATATCATATTTCTTGAATGTTAGAGCTTTGTTTAGTAGAATTTCTGGTCATTGATATCATGTTTCAAGAAAGTTAGGGCTTCATTTAGTAGAATTTCTGTTTATTGATGTCATGTTTCAGGAAAGTTAAAACTTTGTTTAGTGGAATTTATGTTCATTGGTAACATATTCAATGGAAGTTAGGCCCGCTGTTAAATGTCTATTTTAGTTACAAAATTGGATGCAGAGCTGTATCATCATATGTAACAGGGCACCAGGGCAAAAGCTCAAACTAGTCAGAACCTACCGTGTTGAAGGATGTCTATCTCTGCCTCCCCACCACCCCCACCAACCTTGCACCCATACAAATTGAGCCCTAAAACTCACCTGGGGAAAGGACTGGCAATAGTACTTTGTTGAACTGTTAAAAAATACATTCCTAATTTTGCTGTAAGATAGTAAATCAATCCACAATCTTTCTTTCTAGGTCGTAAACAAGAAATCATTAAACTAACGGAACAACTACTGCAGGCCATTACCAGTGGCGACTATGGGGAGTATACGTAAGTACTTTATGTTAATGTATTCAACATCAATCACCTGTGAAAACACTACATTCTGCCTGCCTGGGGCTGTTCCTTTCATCATATAATATGGTTAGTTGGACCTAATTATGCTCAAGATGGTTGAAATGAACCGGGCTCTTAGATAATGGTTGGAGTTCTGAGATGGTCAGAACTGACAAAGATGAGTTTTATTTCTGTGCCGGAGCATAAGAAAATATAAAAACAACACAAACTTGTAGGCTTGCGATGGAAGGTGGACAGCAATGGGCCAAGCTGATTATAGTGAATACTTTACAAGAAATAAGACTTCTGTGAGTTCAGGTGATGACTGTGAATCTGCAACCACAAGCAGAGTGCAAAAACAGCAAGTGAAAGAGCACTAGTAGGAAGCTAGAGAGTAATACAAATTCATCACACAGCCAATGTCTTCAGCTAACACATGCTACAAAATTGGTAGAAAAGGGGATAAAAGATAAAGATAAAGTCGGGAGATGTAAACCTGCATCATTGCACACAGTTATAAACCATAAGTGCTCAGCCTCCAGCGCAGACAGCTGATAAGAAACTCCGTCTGTGTTGCCGTCTGCATGAAACTCCGTAGCTACAGTGACATTCCTACATTTATCCCAGAGTGTTAACTCTGGTACCCATTACCTAGAGGCTGGGTGAACTCCGGTTTCGAACACCGGCTGTGGGCTGCAGCGAGTCGCAGCTGGATTTGAAAGCGAGTCTCCTATCAACTGCGCTAACACAGCCCTGTAGAGGAAGGGATCTGAGCACTTTTGGACTGAATGGTTTGATGTGAAGTGAGGATAATCTGTTACCTGTTCTCAGATGAGCTAATATGATTAGTTGGATGGTAATAAAGAGAAGATGGCACTACATTGTATATTTGTACATCCTGAGAAGAAAGCAGCATAGAATCATCAATCAGGTGTTAAATGGGAAATAAAGGGATTAAGGAGGCGAGGATGCCCAAATGAAACCCTAAGACGGATGTTGATGAGAGAGGCCAAGGCTGCTGGACTAGATTCCATCCATGATACTGAACTGACTGCACAGGATAGAAAGGAATGGAGGAATAGACTGCGAGCCTAATGTGACATGTACTGGCACAACGGGAGAATGAACAAATGAATGAGTGAACAAATGAATGAATATTGCTGTCATGGGATTTTAACAAGCAGTGTCTTTTTCATCAGAAATGAATGTTTATGATGTGTGCTAAATGTTAACAAAAGGAGACTGGATAAGAAATAACAATATCAGGAAAATCGTTGGGGTGGAACCAGTGCTAAACTACATTACAAGACAATAGGCCAAATGGTTTGGACCTGTATCAGCACTGCCTGTTGATGGTGCACCACAGAGAACCCTGTCACTTAGATTTGAAGAAAGCGTTAGTTAGTTACACATGCAAGCAGTGGATAGATTGGATATCTGAGGCTGTGGTGGCAGACACACCAAGGCTTGCATCAGATAACTCTTCACAATTTGCAGGGAAAGACAAAACATGGACTTATAAAACACACACTAAAAAACAAAAAAACAACAGGTGTGTCTGGACATAAGTAAAGTAAAAGTAAGTAAAGTTCCCTTTTCACGCCTTTCGGCGCATCGGGCATATGGGCAGAGCGTCCCATATTTCTACAGACCATCAGCACTCTGTAGGTAATATGGTCAGCATTACGCCGGCTGTCTTTACTTTCCCAGGACAGCCCATCCTGGTACCCATTTTAGGCTGGGTTGACCTGCGACGTCCCATACCACGATAAAAATCCACGCAGCCTGCAGTGTCTGGACATAGATTACCAGTAAAAGTCAAGGACCCTTTTCCACACTGTTGATACATCTTGGGTACATATGGCTAGACCTATATTTTATAGACCAACAGCACAAGATAGGTGATGTGGTCCTCATCACGCCAGCCGCCTTCACTTCCCAGGACTGCACCCGGTACCCACTCAAGACTGGGTCAACCTGGAAGCCAAGGTCATTTTTGAAAAAAAAAAAAGTCTGGCTCTGCCAGGGAACAAACCCACAACCTTCTTATCCGCAGGCGAGCATCTAGCCACTACGCCATGGTGACACCCATAGATTACCAGACTGGGATTTTTTTTTTGTAAACGGAGTTTAGCTTGGTCATGGTTGAATGGTTCAAGGTGATGATAGTGGCCACTTGATACTTGTAGTTTGGGAATTTGTAATAAGAAAACAAGGCTAACCTTTTTTGCAGCAGAACATGCTTTTGGTTTGCTCACAGTGACTGAAATCAATTGTGACAGGCTGTGGAGATGTCAACATGCTTTTGGTTTGCTCACAGTGACTGAAATCAATTGTGACAGGCTGTGGAGATGTCAACATGCTTTTGGTTTGCTCACAGTGACTGAAATCAATTGTGACAGGCTGTGGAGATGTCAACATGCTTTTGGTTTGCTCATAGTGACTGAAATCAATTGTGACAGGCTGTGGAGATGTCAACATGCTTTTGGTTTGCTCACAGTGACTGAAATCAATTGTGACAGGTTGTGGAGATATCAACAACCTTAGTTTAACTGCTGCTGCTTGTTCTTTCTGTTCTTCCACTTCTTCTTTGTCTACATCTTCTTGGTTTGTTCTGTTTTCCCTTCTTGTAGTTCTTAATCTTCTCTTCCATAAAAACAAAAACTATTCATACAGCCTGTATTTACTGCTTTTGAGAGCAGTGTAGGACAGGGAGTTTTTAAACTGAAATGTTACAGACAAATTCTTAAAATATCATGGACCAAAAAGAATAAAAACATCAACATCTTGCATGATCTGAATATTGAGGAAAACAGCACCTTGACCCACCAGGCTCAGCTATTTTGGCCACATTAAATTTCATGATAGCCTGCTTAGAACAGTGATGGAAAGTACAGGTTTCTGAAAACAAGTAGATACAGACCTCCGCAAAGGTGGATACAAAACACTGAAGATGCTTTGACTATGAAAGCACATAGGGCTTGAAAATTGGCTAGAGACATAGAGACTTTCAGGCAAGCCATGATGAGAACAGCTTTCTGTAAAGAATCTATCACCCTCTTTATTCCTATCTTTCTATCTATGTTTTTCTGCATGTGACTTTATCTATGTATGTTTGTTTCTAAAAAATTGGTTTGTTTAGTTTTTCTAAGCTTTATTTTATGGTTTTCATGGCACTTGTTTTGTATTTACACGGACAGGAAGTTAGTGGATCCCCAGCTGACATCTTTTGAGCCAGAAGCTTTAGGAAATCTGATCGTTGGTCTGGACTTCCACAAGTTTTACTTTGATCATGGTGAGTGCCCCTTATCTGTAGCCATCCTGGTCTGAGTTTCCATGTCCCATTTGGGTGGATGAGGGGGGGGGGGGGGGGGGGGGGGGGGGGGGGGGGGGGGGGGGGGGGGGGGGGTAGACCCACATTTCCTTAAAAAAAAAGTTGTAAAAGGCGCCTAAGCAGTAGTTTTCTGAAATTGGATGTGTTGGGTTGAAAGGCGCAGATGTCGCAACCTAGTTGTAAACTGCAACACACTGTGACAACAATCCTTTCAAGGGTTTGAATACAGAAGAAGAAGGTAGTCAGAAACGGGATTTAGAACAATTATTGGTCTGTCACACGTTCTTTATGTTTCACATCCTTTCATCTTGTTTTTCTAACTGATTTATCTTTGCTCATATACATTGTCTATCACATATATTTATTTAGTTCTTCTTACATATTTTGTTTTGAAATAAATCCCTTTATATGCATATTTTCTCCCATTACTTATTTCTTAATTTCATGTTGACCATGTTTTAATTGTATTTTTAGAAGCTTTATTATCTTTTCCGTTGAGTTTTCCAGTCACAGTTTATGTTGTATTTAGTACTGCCTTGATAAAGACTTTGGTCGAAACATTCTATTGTATTTGTGTGTGTCTTTTCCATTCCCTCCCTTGAGCTTCCTGTCGCATTTTCTGTTGTATTTAGCACTTAATGTTCAGCTGAGTTGAATTAACAACCAGCATCACACTACTCAGGAAATTCACATAACTGTTTCATGTGTCTTCTTCTTCTTTCTTCTTGTGTCATATTGCTTGTACTGTAAAGTGTCACAGTGAGGAGTTAGTTATTTGTAGTTTCCTGTTTTTTTTTTAAATACAGTCACAGATTTTTGCCCATCTTCTAGTACACCTTCCTCTCTTGCCATGCCTCCTGTTTAAAGATGTTTCTTAACCATTTTACACCTACTTCCTGGCAGGTTTTAGTGGCCTTGAAATGACTGAAATATTATCACTTCCTGTAGCTGTGTTGTTGGGGCTTTTTCTGATTGTTCCTCCCACTCACTGTTATAGAATTATTTGTTCTACATTGTTCATATAGGCCATGGTAACTACTGAGTTTGGCTAATTTGCTGTTTGGGGGTTTAGCAGTTCTTTGAAGTATGTTTCCCATCATGTTTTTATTTCATTAACTCCTTATAAAGCTCTTCCATATACATACTTATTGTTGTAGATTGGTTGAAACACTCATCTTTCAGATGCACAGACTTGACTCTTCTCAAGAATTGCCCTTGGAAGTTTGTTGGCAGGTCATGTCAAATGTTTCCATATTTTGTCCAGGATTCCTTTTTTTTTTTTAAATGATCCATTAGTGTCCCATCTAGCTTTTTAGCAAACAGTGTGTCTCAGTTGGTCAAATTCTATAATATTCTGTCTAAATTGTTTAAATTCTAGCATGATTTTTATAATGTTCTATTTCCATACCTGCAGTTCTGTTGAAAAATTGTTAACATTCTGGAATGTTCTGTCTCCATGCTGGCAGTTCTGTCGAAAAACAACAAACCAGTCAACACAAGTATACTCAACCCGCACGTTCACCTGCTTGGGGAGGAGGCTGCGTGCATCGCGTACGTCAGACTGACACAGTCTATTGACAGGTTAGTGTATGTGTTTATGTTTCTTTCCCTTATCTTGTTGATGTCTTCTTCTTCTTCTTAGTGTTCCCTGGTTGTAAACTCTGGCAGAAAGTTCTGGTTGTTCATCCGTTTTTGGACTTTGATCTTGTTCCAGAACTTTAGTTTTGTGTGCACATCCTTTTCACAGGTCTGGCTTTTTTGTTAGCTTCAGACTGTTGGTTCTTCACCTCTCAGGCAGATGCAGTCTCACATGGAAAAAAGCTTCCCTGATTAGTAACGACAAGCTTGTTAGGGCTTGTGGAACCAACACTGGGATCTTGTTAATGTTGATCAGTTGGCACTCTGGTGGAAACCAAAGGTGTATTTGTGAGTGGAGGACATGTGTCACACAACAGCTGGGATCTTGTTGATGTTGGTCAGCCGGCAATCTGGTGGAAATGAAAAAGCTGTGAGTGGAGGACATGTGTCACACAACAGCCTCCATCAAGGCCTGCAGCCTTGATTTGAAAACTACTGACAGTGAGAACGAAATATAGACCCACTGTCTACCAAAAAGCATGTCGTAAGAGTCGACTAATTGGGAGCTTCCTTCAAAGTCAGAGTGCATCTGCCTGAGAGGCAAGATACCAGCAGTCTGCATACAAATGAGTCAGATCTGTAAAATGGATGCACATGCAACACTCAGGTTTTGGAACAGGACTGCGGTCAGAAGTGGATGAACAACCAGAACTTTTCACCAGAGTTTACAGCTGGTGAACGCAAAGAAGAAGAAGAAGAAGACTTGCATTTCCTTTTCGAAGCTAATGCAGGGGTGGGAGGGGGTGGGGCTTAATTAGCTTCATGCTTTGTAGGTTTTCAGACTGCATCTTTTTTGAGATCCCAGAGGATAAAATATTCACCTAAGAATAGGTACTCTAGACATTTGCATAAGTGCTCCGACCCCATGTTCTGCAGCAGGCGAAGAATTCTTCCATTGATGGCACCAGTAAGAATGTGATTGTGTTTCTGTCTTGCCTTTCCCTTGAGTATTGAGCATTGGCCAGATCCTCTCGCTCCTTGAGGATCATTGCTGGAGCTAGAAAGTTGTGCTGTGTGTGAAGATCTACTTAGGAATGAATGAACACAATTTAATTTCAAAGGGTTTAGGTTAAAATCCAGAGGATGGACTTAATTGCACCGGCTTTTATCTTATATGGCTCAGACTTTATCCTAAGAATGGCTAGCTGCCTGCTGAGAGCATCACACAAAGCACAAACCCTATAGCTCGAGCAACAATCCCCAAGAATCTTTGTGAAATTGCACTGGTGAACCAAACGACAGGGCCTGTGAAACAAACCCATGACCTTCAGGGTGCTAGGCAAATGGTTTCATCACTTCACTTTTAAGATCCCCTTTCAGAGGGTTCAGAAATAGCAATGCATGCCTGTCTAATGTTCTTCATATAGAAAGAAATCAAAGCCATATAGGATAATACCTGATGCAATAACATCTCTGTGCCATTCTCTTCAGATCATGGTGATCTCTTTGTTTCTTCACTGTTCCTTTGCTTCCAAAAAGCCTTTGAAACATACAGCTTCTCTTTAATCAGTTTGTCACCATATGGTGCAGATCCAGCCATTCTGTATGTCTATTCATTTCCCCAAAACACCTATGCACCCTTTAGAAATTATCCAAAAGAGGCTGACTACTCGTGACCTGTAAATAACATTTGCCACTCTGTGCAGATGGCGAAATGCTGACCTCATTACCCACCTAGTGCAGATAGGTCTGTAAAAAATATGGATTTTCTTCCTATATGCCTAATGCACCTAAAGGCATGAAAAAAGGAATCTTTTTTTTTTTTAAAATCCTGCACAGACCATGCTTCTGTCTACCTTTGTACCTTTATGGGGCTATGTGGTCTTGAGGCATGGCATCGGCTTAAAGTGCTGGAGGTCCTGGGTTCAAGCACCGGTGAGGGCTGGAATTTTTTCATGTGGACTTCTAGTAGTTACCACTGGTCTCTGGGTAGTAAGATCGGACGTCCGTGTGGGGTGTTGCAGACGGGAAAAAAAAAAATCTTCGGTAGTTTTAAATCTAAAAGAGTAGCCTAACATTGCTGCCCGGGAAAATTTGGAGTTAAAAATCTACGCAAACTATTTCAAGATCCTCGCTGGTGCTACGGAGTTCGTGCACTGCTATGAAATTCTTCAGACTTAGGTTTGAGTTATAAGAAGAACAGAGCACTTATGGGTACTACCCTTGTGCCATGATGTTGATCCTTTGTCTGAACCTAAACCTCAGCATGATTTGTAAGTCTGTTACAACTATAACAGTCAGAGCCATGATGCATGCTATTGTCTTACATCTTCTCACTTGCTGTCCTTTGTCTTTGAATTTTCAGTTATCACAATATACTCCAATTTCCCTCTTCTCATAGCATACTTGAATAACATTGATTGGCTTTTTCTGGTGTGGTTAAAATGTTGATAATGTTTTCCTGGTGTGGTTAACCTGGTCTATTGTCTGTTTATTCCTTCAGGGATGGGCTGCCCATTACAAGACATTCAGAAGAGACTAGAGTTTGGCAGCGAAAGGACAGCAAGTGGCAAAATGTCCATTTCCACCAATCAGGAACCAACTCAACAGAAGGCGGAAAATAACGTTGGGAGTAGCGAATACAATTAGTTGTAATCAATGGCGGGATCCTAATATCTGTTAGAAATATTTGGATAAGCAGTGATTGGTCACTGTTGGTATTCAAGTAAACAGTGATTGGTTTCTGCTGGTATTTAACTAAGCAGTGATTGGTTACTGTTGGTATTTAAGTAAGCACTGATTGGTTACTGAGCGATGCATAATTAAAAGTGATAATCCAATCAGATAAGAGCTGATTTTTTTCAGTTGTTTTATCACCACATTCACATAAGAAATGGTGTTTAACTGTTAATTATTATGGAATTGAATGATGGTCAGATAAAGGAAATTGACATTTAAAGGTGTGGGGGATATAACATGTTACAAATGATCAAATTGAACATATGTTACAAATGATTAAATTCAACATTTGTTGCAAATGATCAACATTTGCAACAAATGATCAAGTTTAACTTTGCTTCAAATGATCAAGTTTAATGTTGTCACAAATTATCAAATTTATAATCAATAATATGAACTGGTAAAGTTAACATGAGATACTAAATGATCATGTAAATAACAGGTACGTCTGATCATTTTTGGCTTCCATAAGACATTTCTTAGAATATTAATGTGGTAGTTACTAAATAATCACATTAAACATTATTTTATAAATTTTTGCAGTTAACTGTATGGAGATCTTATAATTCTTAGACTAAAAATGTTTTTGTTTTTTCACAGTTTGTATTATACATTAGAAAAATGATGCTTTGAGAAAGAAACAAGTTTAGCGTGTTCTTAGAGATCAATTGTGACAATGCTTTTCTTCTTCTTTTACTTTCTTAATCTTCCTCTTTTTCTTCTCTTCCTCTTTTTCCTGCTTCATGTTCTACTCTTCCACCCTGCCCTCCTTCCTTCCTTTCTTCTTTCCTGCCTGCCTTCCTTCCTTTATTTCTTCCTTCCTTCCTTCCTTCTCCTCCTCCTCCACCTAAAGTCTTCTTGGACAGTTATCTTTGACTGGTTTGCCAGACCTATCCTTGATTCATTTTTAATGCCTCACCTACAGTACTTTGCCTTTTGAAACCTTTTATAAGAGACCAAATCTAAAATAATGTCACACATAATCAGATGTAACGCGAATGCATTAGAAATAAACAGGTTTAGCTTGTTAGCTGTCGTGATGCAAATGATCATATTTGAAACCATTTTAAAAATAATTATATAAATATATAACATAATAAACCTATAAATATATACAATAAATATATAATAAATTGTTTTTTTTTCATGTTGTATGTGATCAAATTTAATAATCTTACATATGGTCAGCTGTACAAGTGCATCTAAAATTATCTTTTTTTTTTAAAAATGTGAAATATATTTATTACCATTGCTTGATCAGTAATGACATGTAACTATGTGGTAGGACTGATTTGAGTATGATTTTAAAATCGAACTGTTTCAACATTTTATTACAGATAACTGAATTATTATTGCATTGAAAACAGATTTAACATTTTCTTTTAACCATCAAACAATATTAACATGTATTAAATTAGTTGTATTATAATGTTAAAATCATTAAAATACAATTTTAAATTGAGTTTTTTTCCTTCAGTATTGTGCCCTGGAGAACTGAATTATTAGTGTTAAAAAAAAACAAATGTAACATTTTTACCAGCAAAGAAGTAACATGTATTAAATTTGCTTTTTAATTAGGTAGGTGAAATTTTTACAAATTTAATGGGAACCGCAGAAAGAAATGGAGAATTTAATTGAGTGATCTTATCATTGCGTCGCTGGTAGATGGATTGAAACGTTTGTTGCCGACATGTAAATTATGAAGCCGTTGTTAAGATGCGATATTATGGTGATAATTTGGATCCGTGCTTGATGCTGTGCTTCGTATGGTTCATACAAAAGAAGTATTTTCCTATTGGCCATTTTCACCTGTACATGTCACAGTTAGTGTCTCCATGTGTTTTTAAAATTTATGCACTGGTGCTCAATGAACACCGAAAGCTTTTTACAATGAATTTCACGCTCATTTTGTTAGTAAACGATCTTCTCACTATTATGTTTATGTTTTCCCTCTCATGTTGTCACGTCATCTCGTCACTGTTTATATTTTCCTCTTATGTTTTCACATCATCTCGTCTCTATTCATATTTTCCCTCTCATATTGTCACGTCATCTCACCACTATTCATATTTTTCCTCTCATGTTGTCACGTCATCTCATCACTATTATATTCATATTTTCCCTCTCATGTTGTCACGTCATCTTGTCACTTTTAATATTTTCCATCTCATGTTGTCACTTCATCTCATTACTGTTATTTTTTCCCTCTTATGTTGTCACGGTATCTCTTCCCTTTTATGTTCATATTTTCCCTCTCATGTTGT